GTCGGGATTATCAATTCGAAATCACGAGGACTGCACTATATTCCTATACCTTAGTGGCATTAGCTACTGGGCTTGGAAAAACATTCATCGCTGCCGTTGTAATGTATAATTATTTTAGGTGGTTTCGAGAAGGTACTGCATCACTTTTTAGCATTTTTGTCATTGCATGTGATTAAGTGTTCTTGATGGTATTTTTTTCTTTCTGGAAAATGGCATAAAGAAATAAGTTAAAGTGAACTGCTTGGAACTATATCAATATGCTTATGGCAATCCTATCTAAACACTGCAAAAGCTGAATATAGATAAGATCTCATTACTCTCAGTTAGGTCCAACTAAGCTGAAAATAATGTTGTCTTGATAAGGTCTTAATTTCTTGTAATGAATTATATACATATTTACTGAAGTAGAGTTATTTATTGGAGCGAATATTCCTTATTTTGTCAATGTAGATGAGCTCTTTATGCAGGAAGTTGTGGGCATCACATACAAATTCAGAGTTTCTAACATTTGCATTGCTTTGGATTCAAACCTACATGTACCTTACACAATGACTTCATTAGTTTGCATGAATTGTGAAAGGCTTTTTTTTTGAAATTTATGTTTTTATTCTAGCAGTTTCTATCCAAAAGGAACAACTGTAACATCATAACCCTCTTTAACCTCTTAGTTGTGTGCTTTTGACTTTGTTGGTTGAGGAAAAAGCTTAAGCATAACAAAAATATAGTATTTACTTTGTATATGTGACATCATGGCAGGAAAAATAGTTTTTGCAGCTCCTTCTAAGCCCCTAGTTTTGCAACAGATTGAAGCATGCCATAACATTGTAGATATACCACAGGTGAGGCTTTCTAGCCCTCTTTTTTTGTGACTGACAGTACCTTTGTGATTCTAGTTTATAGTAAAAAAAGAGGATTTGTATCCCAATCCAAAAAATCATATTACTCGCATGATATCACATCTCATGGGTGAAGAAAAGTGACAAAACTATTTTGAGTTTAAACATTTTATTGCTTCCTGATTATTTTCCTTCTGATATTTACTTTTTGTCGCTATGTTTTTTGTTAGTTAACATGATACCATGGCAGTAGATGGCCCTCCATTTGATCCTAGCATATCCATGGGACACAACTTCTTTGTGCAAAACCTTCACTGATATACTGCATAGGTTATGTCACTGCTATGTGTTCTGTGCTTTCCGCTAATGTCTTAATTTTTTTGTTTCTACATCTTTCTGAGCAAATCTTTGGTTTCAGGTTTGTTGCTTTGCACAGGGAAAGGTGCAAATTTAGAGCATGTTGATGAGGAACAAATAAATGACTAAGGATGGGTAGGTTGAGCCTTTAAATTAATAGGATCAATATTGGGATGTCTTCATCATTCAAATTGGAGTAAAAATAAAAAAAATGTAAATCAAAGAACACTAGGCAGAAGAATGCTAATCGAAATAAAAAAGAAACGAGATTAAAATGTTATCTTTGGGTGTTAGGGTTGAATGAAGTGGGGATAAAGAGAGTAAGAGAAGGGCTTGATTTTCGTGTTGTGCTGC